TTCGTAGCAAATATCATGCAATATTCAATAATCATCTCAAATATAATACAGGGTGTTTCACAGATAAAGGGAAATATTTCAATGGTACATAGGGGTCACCAAGGTGTTTCTGAAAATACCATATTTGATAGGTCTTAGAGTCTTCATAACAGAGATACAGGGCGATTTATCGATTTCGAATAATTATTCATTCGTCTATAAGTATCGAAGTACCCAGTATATATTTCTAAAATTTGGTATGGAGCTTATACTTGGAACGTGAAGTGGGGCGAAGTGAAAATCCAGGCTCGGCTTCAGGAAAAATTTACATTTATTCGAAATATTAAAATAACACACTGTATGTGATAATTGACAGAGTTCAACAAAGGAATCGTGAAGAGGAGGAAAAACTGAACTGGATTTGATGCTTTTTGTTTTCCCGCCACCAATTCTCATCGTAACAATCATAAACAGAAAGCTAAAAGTATGTCAATTTGAAGAGTATTAAAATTATGAAACCACTTTCAATTATGATTATTTAATATATTCTTGTTAAATGATGGTTCGAAAGAGCTTACCAAGTCTCACAGTCTTTATGACGGAGATACAGGGTGAATTATCGGTTTCGATAATGTTTTCTCAAATTTGGTATTGAGCTTACTTGGAACGATGGATTCATCGACCTATCAGGCAGAATGGAAATACAGGTTCAGCTTCAGGAAAAGTCTCATAGTCTTTATAACAGAGATACAGGGTGAATTATCGAATTATAATTATTTGGTATTATTTCCATTCCGCCTGATGGGTTAATGAATCCATCGTCCCAAGTAAGCTACATACCAAATTTGAGAAAATGTACTTATGGACGAGTGAATGATCATTCAAAACCGATAATTCACCCTGCATCTCCGTTATAAAGAGTGTGAGACTTAGTAAGTTCTTTCGAGCGATTTTTTGATTGAAATATATCGAATAATCATAATTGACACTGGTTTCATAATTTCAATACTCTTCAAATTGAAATACTTTCAACTTTCTTTTTAGGATTGTTACGATGAGAAATGGTGGCGGGAAAACGTAAAGCATCAAACCCAATTCAGTTTTTCCTCCTCTTCATAATTCTTCTGTTGTTTGTGTTAATTATTGAATACAGTGTGTTATTTTAATATTTCGAATAAATGTAAATTTTTCCTGAAGCCGAACCTGGATTTTCACTCCGCCCGATAGGTGAATGAATTTAACGTCCCAAGTATGAGCTCCTTACCAAATTTGATAAAAATATACTTGGTAGGTCAATAAATATAGATTATAGACGAATGAATAATTATTCGAAATCGATAAATCGCCCTGTATCTCTGTTATGAAGACTCTAAGACCTATCAAATATGTTATTTTCAGAACCATCTTGGTGACCCCTATCTACCATTGCAATATTTCCCTTTACCTGTGAAACACCCTCTATGGGAGAAATTTCATTTTGATAATATAAATGATAATGAAATGCAATATTCACTAACCATCATGAATCTGATATTGTAATCGTTAATATTTCGTCAATATCAAATAGATATTTGCAAATAAATATCGACTGATCATGAAAATTTTAATATCATCACAACATTGGCACTGGATTGACTATTAAATATCGAAATGAAAATTTGGTTTTATATTAGGACCATCTAGTAATTCCATATTTAATATTCGAATATTGGGCTAATGTGAAACCAAGTTCTCAATATGATTACCTGGGATATGGTCATGGATACTAAATTTTAATTAGAATTGAAAAGAAGTGTTTTCATAGTGACAATAGGCCCATATTTCAATTTCACAGAACTTTAATGATTGAAATATATTGCTAGTGTTGAAAAAAATTCAACATTAAACCTTGGTGTATGACTATTTTCTACTCGCAGACATAATACAAGGTGAAATAGTTCAGGATCTAGAATCCGATCTTTCATTGAGATCCTACTTACCTTTCGTTTGTCATTCATCATTGCCATCAGCTCGAAGCTGGAATTGGATTTCCCGACGGTCGGAAAATTCGGGGGTTTATCGCCATTTCTCTCACCGTCACACCTGAAAAAAATTGAAATAATTAATAGTCTGTTTCCCAAGATCTTCCGAGCATACCAGCAAATATTCAGACGATGTATAACCTAGCGTCCTCTTTTTTATACCATATCAGATTTATTTTTTTACAACGGTTGCTTTGATTTATATAATTAATTTTTTAATTAATTGTTTTCAACCCCTTTTTGCAACTAATATTAATTATGTGTTTCATGAAATCTATTATGCATATTTATAGTTCTGAATAAATTATTATTATCATTTACTTTAACCATATAAAGCCAGATAGCTATGAATATAATATATCCAATAATGATACCTTGATATTGTGATGCCCCTGCACATACGTTTCGTAATGTTCATGCTCGAAATCTGACTAGTTAGCAGAACGATGGGTTCATTTTTCTGGTACTCCCTAGAGCAAATACGAATTAATGTTATGGGACAAGGTAACCGGCATGAACACTTAGCGTATATTTGAATTACTCATATGATATTTTCCATATCAACTTACGATATTTATCAGTATCCTTCCTATAACTTCAGGCGGGGACATACTTCCATACCAAAATCACCCTGTCGAATTCTCACTCGTTTTTTGTTTTCATATTCACAATTTCGCCTAGAATGTTTATTTTCTGACAACCTAGTAGAATACCCTTCCAGTGTGTTCCACAACTGAACTCATGTAGGAAAATATCGAGAATATATGACTACCCATCTTTCGTGATATTCCTGCCTGCGCTCGTGAGCTCCGATCCCATCAACGGGTGCATATTCCTGGGCAGGGCAGAGAGAGCGGAGGTTCCTGTCTTGATTCAAGACTGTTTCATGAATTGGATGAATTTAATTGCACAATATGAATTGCTATCCGTGCCTCGTAAACACTCGATGAAGAAGCTAGGAGTTTATATCAGTGGCGGCTCCTCAGAGGAGGCAACGGAGGTTAAGCCTCCTCAGAGATTTTCCTTAAACTAATATTATCTATACTTTCTCATTGAAAGGACACCAAAATACATGGATTTTGATTTTATTTCCTGTTTTTAGTTAAATATTTTTGAATTGGCAACAGTGCTTGCCCACGCATCACACGTTGAAGTCTGCAAATCACGCGTAAAATATTCAACTTGGCAACATCTATAGGAGGCTAGACTCCGTCACATCGCGCAACTTACGCGCGCAATGCAAATGCCCGAATAGCACGTGTTTGTCGTGTGGCTTCGCGAATTGCGGACTAACGCGAGTGCATTGTTTATGTTTATGTTAGGTTAATGGTTAGGGGCTCTATAAATTTCTGAAAAATGAGCGATTTAGTGGAATACTTTTTGGTGAACCCATTCAGTGCTGTGTTTTATGAAGATAAATTGATTGTGAAAAACAAACGTCCGACACCGGAATTACAAAATCTGATTGTAACAGGTAACAAACAAAATCGTTCGTTCAATTCTGGTAATTATAAAAAATATATCTGGATGACGGGATCTGAGGTAAGGAAATAGTACATTATATACCGCGGGACTGAAGTAGTACATTTAATCCTGAAGGTAAAGTTTATGGCCCTCCCTGCGGTCGGGCCATAAACTTTACCTTCAGGATTAAATGTACTTCAGTCGCAAGGTATATACGATACTTTTCGTACTTCCGGTATGATTTTATTAATTATTTCAATAATTTCAATCAGTTTTTTCTCTCTTCAACTCATTTAATAAACTGTCTTTAAAATAAGTTACCATAGTAACATTGCGTTGTGACAGTTATAATTTAGAAACATTGTCATTACTAGTGTCATTGTAAAGAAACATTGTTATTGATAATTATTGGTATCATGAGTGAAGAAGGTGTATCTGATATTGATAAAAGAGCAGCCGAAGTAGGTGAAGAATTGTTACCACCGAAATCTAGAAAACTATACGAGCAGCAGTACGATGCTTTTAAAAAGTGGTGCCGCTTAAAAAATGTGAGACAACCTACTGAAAATGCGCTGTTAGTCTACTTCGATGATAAATCAAAAGCGGTTTGTGCCTCAACTCTCTGGGCACATTACTCAATGCTGAAATCGGTTATTAACATTAGAGAAGATATTGATATAAGTAAATTTCCAAAATTATTAGCTTTTTTGAAGAGAAGAAATGAGGGATTTAAGCCAAAGAAGTCAAGAATTCTCACGTCTGAGCAGGTAGATCAGTTCTTACGGGAGGCTCCGGATGATAAATATTTAATGCTTAAGGTAAATTTGGAAATTTGTTTATATTCAGAAATTTTAAGAAATCAATTTTTTTGTAGGTTGCACTTATTTTGGGCGTTGCGGGAGCTTGTCGTGGAAAAGAGTTGGTTGATTTAGAAATCGACGATGTGAGAGATTTGGGCGATTCCTTCCTAATTGCGATTAGAAACACCAACAATAAAATTGACCGAAATTTTGTGATCAAAAATTCAGAAAACAGTGCCATCAGTTTTGTGGCGATATTTCGGAAATATGTGGCATTGCGAAAGACAGGAAAAAACATGTTTGGTACATTTCCACGGCAAATAGCAGCTTTCTTGAAATTAGAAAATGCGACGTCTTATACGGGACATTGTTTTAGACGCACATCTGCGTCTTTGTTAGCTGATTCGGGAGCAACAATAGACGTGCTGAAGAGACATGGAGGATGGAAATCCTCCAACGTGGCCGAGGGATATATTGAATCGTCTATTAAAAATAAACAAAAAATTTCAGATAAAATATTTGGTCAAGTCGCCGATTCGTCCACTATAGTTATGCCACAGTCCTCATTCTCGCTTCCTGTCTCCGCAGGATCTTCGAAACAAACACCAGTTCAATATGAAAAGGACCTATCTGTTACTCGTCAGTTACCTGCTGCATTAACCCAGGAAAGACTGGTCAATATGACGAACTGTCACAATATTAATTTGAATATTAACGTTAATTACCATTCTAATTAATTATATTTTTCAATAAAATATCCCTTAAATTCGTTTGTTTGTGATTTAATCGTTCCGGGAGTTTCGTCAATATTTAATCCCGGAGGGATTAAATGTGACACTTTAGTACCTGTCACAAGGGAGTGAAGTTGTCACTTTAGGCCCGGAAGTACGAAAAAGCTATTTCGTTGGTACTGCGTATTATTTTCAACCGATGAGTAATTATGTTTGGGGCGATTAGGATATAATGATTTGAAAAATTTGCCCCGCGGATTGGATAGACACTGCAAATCACAGGAACACATCTCTTCAAGTATTAAGTTCAGGTTAACTGGTAAACAGAATATCATTAAAGCTATTGATTTGGGTGAGTAGAAAGTTGTTTTTCACATTAAATCTCATCATTCAGCCTCCTCTGTCATGAAAGTCACGAGCCGCCATTGATGGTTTATACAGTGTGTCCCAGATTCGCTTCTCTATACAGGGATCTCGGCTCCTATTATACCTACAGCAGAGGTTAAATGGGGAAAGTTTTAGAGGAATCTTAGTGCATTCGATAACCGGCTTCAGATTTACGATCGGATAATTGATTTTGGAAATATCGGCGAAAAACCGAAAATGACGGATTTCGTTTTTCGCCAGTAAATCCGAAACGGTTAATTTGACACTTGACAGCTGTCAAAATGTCACATTATCTGGACACTTTTTTAAGACGAATAAGATAGCATGTATGACATGTCATGATCGTATTTTGTTATCCCGCAAGTCGCCTCAACTTTCATTTTTCTTATGGCCGCCATATTGAAATTTTCGATTCTTGGAAAGAGCGTAAAATTTCCAGTCTAGTGATGTCTCACAAGTGCATAAAAGTTTTGAGTTTCATAGAAATATCACACTTCGTAAAGTTAGGTCTTGATTTTCTCTAAGGAGGCCATGATTTACTTGACAGAAAATAACACTCATAAAAAACTCATAAACGCATTGAGATTTCGATAGAACATGAACGTAAATAACGACTTCTCAATAAGTAAGATATTTTGGGACAAATTCCCAACTATTGGTGTTTAAAAAAAAAATCAGAAAAATCATCGTCATTAATTAACACTTGAACCTTTGAACAACCTACAATTAGATACACATTGAAAATGAAAATCGCAACAGAAATATTTTACAAGTTGTAATGTGATGTCATGTAAAGTAAAATCTAATTATGTTCTCAACTGCTTTTTAAATGAGTGTTAATTTACAAATTTGCAAAATGACCTCCATTTGCATCGAGACATTTTTGACAATTGGTGACTGTTTTTCTTACAACCCTAGCAAGTGTATTCCCGTAAATATTTCCAAATGTGTCCAGAACTCTTTGTCTCAGGATTTCTATGGTCGCGGGAGGATCAAATTCATAGACCTCATTCTTTGTGTGACCCCAGAGGTAGAAATCCAAAGGTGAGAGGTCAGGGGATCTCGGGGGCCAAGATATTGGACCATTTAAAGAAATAATTATTTCGTCAAATTGCTCTCTTAAGAAGTTCCTGACTTGAATGGTGTTGTGAGCCGGACATCCATCCTGTTGAAACCAGGTTATTCTAAACTCATCTTCGGTTATAGTAGCTCGTAAAGCCGGCACAACCTGGTTTCGCAAAAGCTCTAGGTACCTCTGTCCGTTTAGGTTGTATTCAAACACAAATGGTCCTATGAGTCGATTTCCTGAAATGATTGATAATAATTTATAACAGGTGCTCAATTGAAAAAGCTAAGTCAGATCAAATTACCAATGACCCCACACCAAAAGTTACTTCCAAATCTAGTCTGTAGACGTCTCTCTGCCACTTCGTGAGGGTTCTCCACAGCCCAATGATGAGTGTTGTGCTTATTAAAAACTCCACAATTCGTGAACCTACTCTCATCGGACCACAACACATGATTTACAAAATCGGGATTTTCATTACACTTCCTAGTATACCACTCACAGAAGCGCATTCGTCTTGGAAAATCAGTTTCCTTAAGTCCTTGAACTATTGTGGGTTTGTATGGATGGTACTTATTCTTATTCAACACTCTCTGTACCGTTGATTTTGACACAACAATTTCCCGTTCTACAGTTCGTACCGATGCTCTGGGATTTTCGTTGACAGTTTGTAAAATGTTTCTGTCGCGATTTTCATTTTCAATATTGTATCTACTTCTAGGTTGTTCGAAGGCCCATGGTTAATTAAATTAACTACGATTTTTCTAAATCGGGTTTTATGAGGCTGCCATCGTTCGGGGTACATCTCCAAATACCTTGCTGAAGTAATGTCGGCGTTTCTGCGTGACTGCAAGTACAGCGCTAACATGTCAAACTTTTCTTCAATTGAATAGGGAATACCGGCCATTTTCAACAAATGAAGACAATTTGTGTGTCATATTACAAGTACTCT